GGGGGGGGGGCGCCTCTTTCCGTCCTTCCCCCCCATTCTCAGGTTGGGGAGATCTGGCGGAATCTCACATCGCTGTGGGTTTAGTGTGTCCTCTTGGCGCTTCTCACCAATCCCGTCCATCGCGTGTGGTCTTCTGTGAGCTGCTTTTCTTTCCTTCGTAAAGTCTGCCTCTCGGCCCGTTTCACTGCCCGTGCCGGGCTGGCGGCGCCGCACAACCTTTGTCACCGGCCCTGGGGGAGAGGGTTCAACCTACCCTCTCCTGCAAATTGTCTGTTTTCCTGGACTTGTTGAGGTGTCCTGGTACCCTCCCCCCCACCCCCCACCACGTGCCTGGGCAGTCGGGAGCTACAGCACGCTTGGCCATGGGCTCCGTTTTGATTTGGTTTGTGATTTGGTTGCTGAAAAACGTATTATTGGGAGAGAAGATACATCTTATTTTATTTTTAAGCCTGTTTTTGAGCGAGTGAGAGTAAGTGCACACACTGGGGGGAGGGGAGTGAGCAAGTGACTGGCAGAGACAGGGAGGGACAGAGAATCCAAAGCAGGCTCCATGCTGTCAGTACAAAGCCCACAGGGAGCTCCAACCCACAATCTGAGAGATCACGACCTGAGCCGAACGGGATGCCGAACGGGATGCTTAACCGACTGAGCCACCCAGGCGCCCTGAGGGAAGATACATTTTAAGAATTGATGTTATTGTTACAATTTGGAACTGTTTTCAATAGAACATCAGAGCTAGAGGTGAGAACTTTGACACTGATTAATTTCTGATCTAGAAAGCTGAGCTTAACTACTTGTAAAAGATTGGAGACAGATGGGCCAGAAGATGGTGGGAGGGGCTGGGCTGAGTTGGCAGGCAGCGCCTCTTGGTTGTGCTTTGCCACCGGAGTGCCACCAGCTGTCCAGCCCCATGTGCCCAACACAGGGAGTTGCTACCACTGACTTGCCTTTCCAGAGACTGCTCAGCGCCCCGGGCCTCCCCGGGCCTCTGGAAAGGTAGGCGAGTAGCCGCTGCTCAGCAGCACCCCCCTGTGGTCAGTGTGGGAGGTGTCACTCCAGCCCTTGGAGTCCTTGGGGACCCAGACTGCCTCAGGGCCAGCTGCCAGTCTCTGTGTTTCCTTATGTGAGCCAGGACTGGCGGAGGATGCGAGGGGTGCTTATAAAGGGGGTGCGGGTAGGCCCTCATGGGGCTTCCAGGGGTCAGAGCTCAGTCAGGTAGGCCCTTGTAGATGCCGGGAGGCCGGGAGAGTGATGGGGCCAGAGCCCCAAAGGAGGGTGCTTGGTTGTTGGACGGCCAGGGTCACCTGCTAGTGCCGCTGACCAGTCCCAGGACCTTGCCGGTCTGCCCTTCCTCCTCCTCCACCCTCTGACCGCACATGCCTGCTTTCTGGCTCGCCCGTGGCCCCCTCAGGCCTCAGCAGCGGCCCCTCTTGAGCAAGGTCTTCCCAGATGATCCTGTCCAAAGGAGGTTTTGTTTGTGGTGTTCTGTCGTGGACCCTGTGCCACTCCGTCTGTGCACTCACAGCAGTGCCGTAGCCCACTGAATTCGTCAAGTTACTTGGTCTCACCCGCCCGGGGGGCTGGAAGTGTCGTAAGCCTAGGGCACTAAGGGAGTCTTCTAGCTCGTAGCTTAGAGCAGGGCACGAGCGAGGCAGAGCGTGTGTGCGCGCGTATGTCCGGGTGCCTCCAAGCCCTCCCTTTCTGAGGACCGTGTGGTTATTTAAAGAGATGTACCCACGCCCGTAGCCAGAAGAGCAGCGTGTTTCACAAGAGTAAACGCGGTAAATAAGCAGCTAACGAACGCGCCGTGTCTCAGTCGTAGTCCACGACCTGCCAAACAAAGCAGCAAGGTGTGGCGTGTGCACCTGCACAAGCACGAGGGATGCCCGCACGGGCCTAGCGTCCTGCCCCAGGAAGCAGCTGTGGGAGGGACGTGGGTGAGCGGCCCCAGCCGAGGGGCAGGGGGCCCCGGGGAGCCTGTGCGGCGGAAGGACTGGGAAGGGTCGCCCCGACGGGGAGATGGCGTGCTGTGTTGTTCCCGTGCGCTGTCCGGGTCTGGAGCATGCACGTTCCTCGAGGCCTGGTGGGGCGAGGCCTGCTCCTGTCCCAGGACGCAGTAGCACTGAGGCCCACGTGTCTGCTGCAGACCCGTGCCTGTACATCCCACGCTTTGCCCACCTGCTGGAGTTTGGGGAGAAGAACCACGAGGTGTCCATGACGGCCCTGAGGCTCCTGCAGAGGATGAAGAGGGACTGGATGCACACTGGCCGGCGCCCCTCGGGCCTCTGTGGAGCAGGTGTGGCGGCCTTGCTGGCCGCGGTGGTGGTTTCCATCCTGACTTCTGCAGGCCGGGCACGCGGGTGGTGGGCGGGCTGTCTCCACAGCGAACCTGGCCGCCGAGGACTGCCAGCTGCTCCCTGCACTGACTCTCAGTCACAGGGGCAGGGCAGGACTCGTGGAGGCCGCGGCCAACCCTGCCCTGGCCCCGCAGCCCGGTCGTTACTGCAGAAGGTGTCCGGGCCCCTCTGGCTGACTCCTTGACCCCCGAAAGGGTAGCTGTCTGGGTTGCCCTCTAGGCGGCAGCTGCCTGAAAACAGCCCCGCAACCCTGTCCTCCATGTCTTGGGGTCTGACGCGGGCCTGGGTCTGGAGCCCTCCCCGGCAGGCCCCCACCCTGGCACCCACCGGCTCCATGCCTGCCCAGAGCGCCAAGGGCCTGCGTTCCCGCGCTCGGCTGCCAGTAGGATCATTTCCCATTTCGCAGCCCGATTTCCAAGCGCACTGCCCACTCGGGGCCTGTCCGAGAACCAACCTGGCTGCGGCCACCTCGTGGGGCCCACCGCCTTTTCTCCCCGACCCTGGGCCGTGTCCCCAGAAGCCTCACCTCCTCTGCCAACCAGTGTGCCTGTTCGAGTCACCTGAGAGTCAGCTCGCTGGTTTGCGGGGTGACGTGAGGTTCTCGGGTGGAGTTTAATTCTCCCTGTGTGGAGGAGGGGGTGTGTGATGAACACTTTCTACGTTGATAGATCACCGCGTGGTTGCACGCGAAGCCGTGTGCAGCTTTCAGGGGCTGTGACGGTCACATGCTGTGTAAGCGTTCCCCATGGTGAGGCTGGGGACTCGGCGCCTGCAGGCCCCCCAGGCAGGGCTCTCCCCGCCGCAGGTCATCGGCCCCGAGTGCTGGGCTGCTGCGCACCTGTTCCGATTCCTGACTCCCGTCGTGCCCCCCTCCAGCACTTCTGGTTGCAGCCAGGATGCACGATTTCCGGAGAACCGTCAAAGAGGTCATCAGCGTGGTCAAGGTGTGCGAGTCCACGTTGCGGAAGAGGTAGGTGGCTCTAGTTTGTGGCCTGGGGCACAGACGCTTCATCCGTCGGGCCCAGCCAGGCCCGTTGGTCAGAGCCGGCTCCCGGGGGGCTCCTCAGGGTGGGGGCCACCCGCCTCCCTCCCGGGCGTCTCGGTCAGTCCTGGCACCACGCCAGCTGCACGTGCAGGGTCTCTCCAAGGTAGGTCGACGTGGACTGTGGGGGCCCGGGGGGACGCCCGGCTGACACCGAGGGCCACTGTGCCGTGTGTCCGGGTGCCCACGAGCTCCTGCTTTGGGGTGTGGTGTTCGTGGGGTGGCACAGCTCAGCATCAGGTGCATGTGGGCTGAAGTCCAGTTGCCGGCAGACCTGTAATCGTGCCTGTTCTCACAACGGATCTGGAACATTCGATGGCTTGTTTTCAGTGGAGGTCGTATCCTGTGGCAGTTTTCAAAGGCAGAGAGTAAGGCGTTTTGTTTGTTCAACCTCTAATTCTCTTCAGAAAAGTTAAAAAAAAATTTTTTTTCGTGTTTATCTTCGAGAGGGAGAGATCACGAGCAGAGAAGGGGCAGAGAGAGAGGGAGGGAGAGAATCTCAAGTAGGCTTTGCACTGTCAGCACGGAGCCCGATGTGGGGCTCAGTCCCGTGACCCTGGGATCATGACCTGAGCCGAAATCAAGAGCTGGACCCCCAACCGACAGAGCCCCCAGGTGCCCCTGACCATGCATTTTTAAAACCACACTACTCCACTTTGGAGAATCGTTGTTCTTCAGTGAGTAACGCTAGAGAATTTTAAGCCACAGCGGTGTGAACGTAATCGTGGTTTGGAAAGTTAACCTGTTCAGAATGGGTTCACTGAAGGTAGAGAGCACTAGTCGTTCATCCGGGAACGTATATACGTTTGTTTATTTGTTTAGCGTTTATTTTTGAGAGGGAACTCGTGCGTACACGAGCAGGGGCAGGGCAGAGAGGGAGACACAGACTCTGAAACTGCGAGATCATGACCTGAGCCCAAGTCAGACGCTTAACCAACTGAGCCACCCAGGTGTCCCCCCCCCCCCCAAGTTTTTTATTGAACATTTTGTAGGTTGGGGGCACCTGGGTGGTTCAGTCAGTTGAGGGTCTGAATCTTGGTTTCAGCCATGGGATCGAGCCCCTGTCAGGCTGACTGTGGAGCCTGCCTGGGATTCTCTCTTTCTCTCCCTCCCCCTTGCTGGCCCTTGATCTCTGTCTCTCTCAGATAATAAAAAACTAAAAAAAAAAAAAACAAAACGCGTCTTGTTGGGTGTGTGATGTAGGGAATTGAGCCTGAGCCGGCACATACCTAGGGCTGCTGGCTTGGCCTGCTTCCTTCTGGGCCTCCTCTGAGTCTCCCCGTGGGAGCAACAAGGGGAGCTTATCGCTTGTCCAGCAACAAGGGCAGGTGACCCCTGCCCACCCTGCCTTCCTCCCCAGGGCCGCACTGTGGGGGGCGGCGAGCAGGGCCTGGTGACCAGCAAGTGGGGCCACAGTGCCCGATGGCCATCTCCAGGGCCCTTGTCTCCCTGTGACTCTCTTGTCCCAGGCTGACGGAGTTCGAAGACACGCCCACCAGCCAGCTGACCGTGGACGAGTTCATGAAGATCGATCTGGAGGAGGAGTGTGACCCCCCTTCATACACAGCTGGGCAGCGGAAGCTGCGCCTGAAGCAGGCGAGTCCCCGTGTCCGTCCAGCACTCGAGTCCCTCGAGGCACTTCCTAGATCTCGTGTCACGTTCCTACTTTGGGACGAGAAGCTTAGTTACAAAGGCTAGACTGGGTCTGTGTCCACACAGCTCGCAAGGAGAGGCGGACAGATGGGTGGGTGAGCAGTGGGTGGGGCACAAGGGCCAGCTCTCCCCAGGCCGTGGTCCCCGTGCCTTCCCAGGGTGTTTCGCGCACAGTGCCTTGGGCAGGCGCTGCCTTGCTCTGGGGCCTGGTCGTTAACGTTTACCTGGAGGGCTGGGATCCAGGGCCGCTGCTCCGTGTGCAGCCTGCGGGGCCCCCGGATGACGCCCGGGAGGAGGGTCTGGGCAAGGCCCGGTGGACTGCGAGGAGAGGCAGGGTGTGCACGCCGCGTACCTCTTTCACGCCTGCCTGTCTCCACTGAAGGTTCTGGGTGCTTTGTTTCAGCTTGAACAAGTTCTGTCCAAAAAACTGGAGGAAGTTGAAGGTGAGCAGCCGATCTTACCGCTACAGATGCCTCATGTCCCCTTGGAACAGGGGGCTTTGTATTCACGGTTCGCTTCTAATTTCCTGCTGCAGGTGAGATATCCACCTACCAGGACGCGATTGAGAACGAGCTGGAGAGCAGCCGGCCCAAGGCAAAGGGGGCCCTCGCCAACCTGACCAGAGACGGTGAGTCCCGCCGGGGCCCCTGCGGCCTCGAGGGGCCGGCCCCCGCCCTGCCGCCACCCCTTCCGTGGCCGAGGGATCCCGCCTCACAGGGCCCCGCTCTCAGCCCCGGCCACCAGCCACCTCCTGACCCTGACGTTCTGGGCACAGTGTCCAGATGCTCCCGGGACCCCTGCCCGCCCGCCCCCCGCCCAGTTTCCAGCCCTGCCACCCAGATCTTCCTTCCAGACTGTCCTGCTGCCTCCCTCCGGACCCCTCCCTGCTGTCGCCCACCCTGTGCCCTCCTCAGCCTCCCTGGGGCTTCCTCTGTGTCGTGGCT